GCCTAGATCGTAGGAGTTCTAAAATCTAGAAAGATTTAATTCCTGAAAAAAATGTAATGTTTTAGATCAATAGATAGTCTTTTTTTATGTTAGTTTTTTTGTTTGTAAAGAACTAGCGATATAGCGTAGCATCCAGTATCCAATTACAACCAGCATTTCTTTCGTCACACTTTCCACGTTTAGGAGTTTTTATAAGAGAAATCGTCTATTTAACCACATGAAACGATTCAATTTATCTCAATATCGTTAAATGTTTTATTTTCATTTCCATTTACAAATAATTAAGTTTATTGCAGTTGGCATTCTAACATTTACATGGTTATTTCGCGAAAGTTCCACGTCTAATTGCAACAGTTATGAATTAACAAGACTACATAGTTTAATTTAAATAATTTTATAATTAACTATACTAATAAAGAAGAAAGATTTGTATTCTTGTATGTATTGAAATAACTCAAAAACTACTGGGCCGATTTTACAAATTCTTTCACTATTAAAAAACTACGTTATCAGTGGTATAGGCTATGTTTTTTTGGGCAAAGACTTATTTTATATAATTAAGCATGTTAATAACAAAATGTTTAAATTAGCAAAGGAAATTGCATCTTGATCTTATTTCTTAATGACTATATTATGCTATCATCATCACTAATGATTAAATGTACAATTGTGCTAATCTATTTGCAAATACGTGATGTATAAATAATAATAATCATAAATTAAATTACATCAAAGGTCGTGCTTGGTTAGCAAGTAATTGTTAGCAATGCGTGCGAATTGGCCGTGGGTAACATAGTCGTTGTTTCACTCGGCCTAGAACTTAGACCAATGTCAAGGTTTGTCCATCTTAACGTAGAGTTCCACTACTGTGACACTGCTTGCTTTCTCTATTTGGTCAAAGTAAATGAAAGAGATGCCGATATACATTAATACAAGTGTATAGGCTGTAGGATTCTACAGTCAGGTTAGGTTGAAAATATATTACTTTCGAATTCAGTCTCTTGGAAATATTTATAACTGGAATTACATGGGATTCGATTCCGTGTTAGTCATATTACAAATTCTTGGGAATATCCAGTTGTAGGAAAGTTACCTAGCGTCTAGTCTAGGTAATTATTATACGAAAATTGATAGTTGTTAATATTTATATTGAGAACGAAACAGGTAAATTATGGTTAGATTGTTTTAGACTAAAATTTTAAACACTACGTAGTTAATTTTATCTTTTTGTATTAACTTAATTTGTCTGAATCGTTATATAATTATTCAGGAAATTAGTATTGAATTGGTAATTATAATATTCTCACGTTTAAATCAGAAGGTTTCTTTGTTACTAACTATGTCGTTACCTCGTTACTACTTAATAATAATTATTTTAAGTAGTCATCGATCAACATTTTTTTCTGTTCTTAATTCTTTTAAGAAATACTTTCGTAATATCTATGAGAGTTGTTAAAGAAATTAGTATAAATTACTGTGGCAAAGTTTTTTATTGGTAGCAGGTTGGAATAATGAAAGTAAAAACTCTCTCCTTTATTGCTATGAGTTGAACGACCGTCGTGGTAATTGTGCTCCTGCCAAAACTATTGTTTTATTTATAACTATTTGTGATGTGGTAAGATCAACTGATATTTATAAGAAAAGTAACTATTGTTCGGATTTTTTATGTGTTAATGTTTAATTCTCTGACGATAAAACTCATTTAACAATTAATAGAATACTATCATACAAGGAACAGATAGGATGGGGAAGAGCATGGAGGGAGGACGCATGGGTAGGGTCTCTTCTTTCTATGCGTCCCGTCTTCTGTTGATTTAACGTAGCTATTTCGGAATATTCCGCTAGCTATTTGTTAGTTACATTATATTATAAAAAATAATGTTTTCCTAACGCGAAAAAGTCATCCAGTTTACTAAAGTTTTGCAGGAATTTAGGTTCTGTGTTAGCTTGTTTTATCAGTTATTGTGAAACAAATGTAACACATCGACGTTATCGTTAAGCTTCTAAAAGCCTGATGTATGATAACTACTGCCCAATTTACTGCTATTATCATTAGCCGACTTTTTTCGTACATTGGTAAAACCAAACGTTTCTGACAATCATCTCGATGACTATGTCATCATAGTTTTAAAATGTGATTGCAAATAAAATGAAATAAATGTTTTATGTAATTCACATTTGAAACTATCGTATTATAACAATATTGTATAGGTTGATCAACGTTCACTAGGTATTCGTGATCATCCAGTGTTGATGGTGAATCATCACCTTTATTTGCCCACTGTACATAAGCCTACTCCAATAAATTAGAGGTGACTAGTCCTTAGTCAAACATGCTGGTCTCATGCGGATTGATTGCCTTTACTTCTTTGAATTTCTTTGCTATTATGTGCAGTTTTCATCACATAGTTTTCCTTCACCATTAATCGGAACATTTTAAATTATAATTTACTTGAAGTTAGATCTTTAGTTATACAACTTAATCGGTTCTCGCCACTTAAATATTTTATGAGTATGAATAATGTTTTTGTAACGTCGCCATTATTTATAAATATGTGAGGCATATGATCAATAACGTGTCGTGTTGTTTTATTATTGTAGGTACGTGTGATTGTTTTGGATTTCATAGACACACGTGTCAGTCTGTTCGTTTGTCTTCATGAGAAAGTTCAAGGAAGATATACACAGCATTGTTATTAATTTATAATACCGACACTAGTTGTTGTCTGCGACTTTATCCGTATCATTTCAGTAAAGAGCTTACTGCAACGCTGCTCACTTAGCACATATAGGTTTTACTGCAACGGACAGTTTTTTTAGTTGGATCTATGGAAGCCTCTTAGTGTAGATAATTTATACTTAAACTACACTAAAGGAGATACAAATCTGTGAAGAGATTTTTTGAAATTCAATATTTTCTTCTAAAAATATAATGTAGACTTATAAAAGAGAAGAAACGTGGCCGTTTATTACAAATTTTTCCTATCGACGCGACCAAATTAACATAACAATTAAAAAAGGCCTACTAATTACGATTTGATATCGATAGTTTAATAAGAACATAACACCTATAGCAACGTTAGAATAATAATTTTAACAAAAGCTATTATCTTCGTAATAACTTACGTTTTTTATAACAAATCGACTTCGATTCAAACAGGATGTTCTCATGATATTTTATAAATATTTATAAATGCATCCCTGGCGTACGCGACTCGAGACAATTTGTCTGATTCCGGAGTTTATACATTGAACTTATACGTTTTACGATTTAATTGTTATGCAAGTTGTTACTTTATGTCCTACTTAAACGCTTGTAATGCGAGATTTTATTTACTTTTACCTATTCATCCAATATACGTTTATAGTTTACTGGGTTTCGCTTGCAACTCCGACTGTGGAATTAAACAAAAAAACGAAAGAGAGTAGCCTATGTGTTATTCCAGACTATACTCTACATCTATGCCAAATTTCAATCGAGATCCGTTCAGCAATTAAGGCGGCAAACTCAAACATCCATCTAAACTATCGCATTTATAACATTAGTAAGATAGTCGTCGTTGATTAAATAATTACATATTACTTATCCTTACGATATATCAGAGATATGAAAAAAAGTGTGTCAAGAAAACACAATATTTTCTCACTACTAGCGGTAGAGTAAATAGAACGGAGTTCTTATCAAATGTGCTACCTATTCTTTACTGATAAGTATGGTGCAAATAAAGTAGCTTTGTTACGCGATTTAATAACTGTGAATACGTTAATATAGTTATTAGAATCTTATAGACATTTATTTTGAAATTTAGTTTACGATTGTTTTATTATCAAATGATTTGAAATAATAATAAGTGCCACAGTTGGTATATGAGAAATTGACTTATTATATTTCTCTACTAGCTGCGACGGCTTTGTCCACGCGAAATTAGAAATTGTAAAAAATATATTAAAAAAAAAATATTTCCCAGTAGTAGTTTTCGAGTTATTTCAGTATATACATAAATAGAAATCTTTCATTTATATAATAATAGTATAGATTATTCTAAAAACATCTCAACTTATTAAGTTCATTAAATTGACACGCAACGAGATCGTGCGTTTTCAATAAAATTACCTCCCATTGTTTAAAACTTTTAATCCTTGAGTGTCATACATTGGAATAATAATGACAACTTCACCCTGAAATAAATCAATACTATATTTTTGTGCAAATTACTTTCCTGATATTTAGGAATCGAGACATACAAATTTAGTTGTTTTAAAAAAAATAACGAGATTCAGTTCCTAAAATTAATTTCATAATCTAGACATATTATATTCTTTGTACAAATAAAATTGAAAACATATTTTAATAATGTTAGTAGTTAATATTATAAATGCGAAAGTTCAGATGGAGCCTAAACTGCTGAACGAATCTCGATGAAATTTGGCATAGATGTAGAGGATAGTCTGGATGAACACATAGACTACTTAGTTTTATTTTTTAATTTCCCGCGGACGGAGTCGCGGACGTATGCTAGTTCGTTAATAAATATTACATCTTCTCTGAATTAGAACAGTTGTCCAAACAATAACGGAATTTGAATAACAAATGACGATCCAAAGACAAGCATCGAACTTTTTTAACATGTGCGTTCCTTGCGTATTTAACTAACATATTTTGCAATACAACTGAACGTTTTATGATAACCAAACTATAGTATAACTAGTAATACTAATAATCTATATTAAGAGAAGGATGTCTATTAAAACATAACGCTATTCGGATTTTTGAATCCAATGACGCTGTACAACAATAGGCCTAAAACTAATTTATATTCCGCAACTAGGTACTTAGCGAATTCCGCACAACTGCGGGTACAGTCGCCGAATGAATATCACATTGTCGGGTGATTTGTAAACAAGCCGCGACCGAAACACGTTGAGAATACGTCCGGTGCACTCTCGAGCTCTACCTGTCATCCCCCACGAGCTCAACATCTCGCATTCAGGTGTATGTGCCGAGACAGAAAGGTGGTGTCGCACGCAACCAACGACTTGCAACTCGCACACGACGCGTTATCGGAATTTAATTGTAACAAATCGTACTTTCGCGGATAACAGTTATTAGTTACAGCCAATCAATCTTAACCGTAAAGTGTGCGTACGTTATTGAAAATGAAAACGGATTACGCCATGGATGAGGTGCAGAAGAGTAAGTTTGAAATTGGAACAATTTGTTTTTTATTACCGGCCAGAAAAAAAATCAATTAACATTGTTCTGTATTCAAAAAGTCTATGAAAGAGTTTCTCTCAGTTAAGCCTCGTCTATTTATATGTCACACGCTACCCTTAGGTTTTAAAACTGGAATATGTGTGGTTTGCTCCTGGAACTTGATTATGGAATGTGCTATAAAATAATTGTTGAACCTATCTTACTTGCAGAACAGGGTTTAAAAATAGAATCTAGATTAAAACAGATTCTAAATGGAAAATTCTTACGTGACTATATATTGGACAGCGTATAACGTTTAATTTTTTTATTACGGTTACATAATTTTCATAGTTTAGTTCGTTTGATGTTAATCTGTTTTTAATTGCGATCATTTAAAAGATGTTATGTTATGTAATACCGGAATCAAATAAGTACTTGCGGCATAATTCAAATACATATAAAAAGGTGTCATTAAGTGTAAATACATTGCGAATTCACATTTTAATAAATCAAGTGTATCACAAATAACAAAATTATTTCAAAGAAAATTCATTTTAAAACCGTTAGGAATAATTTTTGTTTCAAGACATTTTTAGTGTATCTACAAACTACAAGATAAGATGAATATAGATATAGTGACGTCACATCACGCGACGCATCTCTCCGTACAGAGGCCTGTTTACATTCTTAATTAATCTGGAACAAAAACAACTCGACAATTGATAATATTAAACATTGAATGCTCGACATAATAATAATATGAGACTATGGGATTTGTAATGTTTACTAGACATATTTCAATACAAACTTTATTATTTTTTTATTTATTAAATGATATGTTGTTTGCTGTACTGCATAGATTAAGAATACAATAAAAGAGTTTTCTAGTGTTCATTACAAGCACGGAATGAATATAAACGAAGTTTTTAAGATGAACTTGGTGGATTAAGTTATAATTAAGTTCTATCTTATGTTACAAAGACTGCGTCACTTAATTAAATAGTAGATAATAGATTGAAATATATAAAATTAAATGCGATTATAATACGTGAGTCATTCTTGGGTTTTTGCATTTACGTTATATTTCGTTAATGTTAGTATGCGGCCAGCATTTTCATGTTATAAATCACGCGTGCGTCAATTTAGCAGTACATTGTTTCTAGAATTTAATTATTTATTAGTTAATGCTGTGGTTAGTCAACTATTTTTTTAACTAAAATCGTGAGAATGTTTTGTGGTCATATAGGGAATTGAAATGTTTTTGTAGGCTTCTCAGTTTTTGATAATTACATCTTTCTTTGAACTATACTTGATTTAGTATATATTATCAACGTTCAAGGCTGTTGGTTTTTATTTGAGAAATAAGAATAAAGAATCACATGTCTACTTAAAGTCAGTCTCGAGGTTTATACGTAGGTATTAGAATCACATGAATTTTACAAGCTTTATTTACAAATTTATAAACAAATATGGAAATTTAGTTAGAACAAATTCTAACAAGCTCTTTGTTAACTGGCAGGCTACTAAAGAAGTTCGGGCAAAATGCATTCGGAGGTCACCAAATCCCATGTGTGTAGATGCCTCTTCAAGGCCAAAATTGATCATAAGCCTCAAACAAATGACAATCTCTCACTCTTGTTTAATAAGCAGTTAAATAATTAAATATACCATCATTCTCGATTGAATCGGTATTAAAAAGTGATTGTATTATTATTGATAGTTCCACTCGTTAACAACGTCATACAGTTTATTGATATTAAATAAATATTTATGTCCTTCTTAAAGAATAACTTTCCATACCATTTCACGTTTTAAATTAAAAAAAATAACAATCATACTATATTGTTATGTATATGGAGTTAAAAGAAAAGTTGTATTAAACCAGATTTGTTTGCTTTAACGGGATTAAAAAAATAGTTTCCGATAAACTTCTAATACTGCTTTTCTTCATTATCTAAGTTTTAACACATTGTCGTTTTGTCGCTCACGTAGGCCATATTTCCAAAATATGATTTTTGACAGAAATATCAATCTAAAAAAAAAACTATTTTCACATAACCTTTTTTCTACAGGAACGACGTCGATCATCGGCGTGTCGGACATCACACAGAACAAGATGATCTGGCGACAGGTGGTGGCAGAGCTGGTGGGCACGTTCCTCCTTACCTCCATCGGCGTCGCCTCCTGCATCGCTATCTCAGAATCCAACGCCCCAAAGGTCACCAGCATTGCGCTCTGCTTCGGTCTGCTAGTCGGCTCCATCGTACAGGTCAGTTTATACTCTTTATCCTTTCAATTTCACGTTGAGTTGTACGCGTTTTCATTTGAGGTTTTTTTTTACATCAGTAGATTTATGTTACTTTACTGATATTTCTATACTCTAGGCTTATGCTAGGATATGGTTCACAATAGTCGAATAGCGGAATTCGAACCCTCGACCGCAAGATCGGTAGTCCGTATCCCAAAACATTAGGCTATTGGCGTTATTATTAATTTTATTTACATAAACTGAACAATATTTTGTCAATAATTACGTAAAAGAAGTATGTAAACTTTTTACTGTAGGTACAATATGTGTTTCAAGTAATTTCCGGTGTAAGCAGAATTTATGAAAAGTAAATGTTATTAATCATCCGACGTGATATTATCTTCAAAGTAAAGTTCCGTAATGTTTTACTTATAATGGTGATACTTGGTGACGTCATCTATCGTAAATTAATTATATAACCTCAATTTTTTATACCTACTCCAACTAAAAGGGTAAACAGAGTTGATAATCGTTTTATGATCTCACCGACATTTGAAGTTAGATAATTCTGAAACGACTTCATTATTTACATTCGGTCGTTTCAGTGAAACTTCTCTTAGGGAATATATTAATGATCACTTAATGACTCGGAGTACTGATGTCGTGTCTTAACTCCTACTTAAGGTAGGTCTTTTTAATTCACGTAAATTTGGTAAAAGCTAGAAGTACCAAAGCCTTGGTAAACACAGATTCTTAATCCATCTACCCATCTAGGTTATAAGCGTAAGTTATCCTTTATCGTATCAAAGATTAAAGAGTAAGTGGTTTACACTTACTATGTTAGCCAAGTTAATATTGTAATCGTAACAGTATCGTAATCTACATCAAACATACAGCAGCCTTTGAAGATAAACGAACGATAACAATAACGATGTCGCATACAATAACGTTCAATAGGACATTTCTGTCAATGCCCGACCTTTCCCACGCGGTCGCGAACCCAACAGATCGTTCGTAAAAACTATTTGCATATGCTCACTTCGATATTTACATAAACTCTGTTCAGTCTGAGCTGTCAAAGCGGAATTAAAACAAACCTTGACCTACGCATATTAATGATTCCTTTCTTATTTATTTTTTATTTCACGTAGGCCTCAATTGATAAATTTATTATCTAAATTGTATCAATCAATTATTAATTAGGTCAAGAATAAAATAAATAATAATATCGAAGTATTTTTTTAAAGATTTATATTACTTTAATGTCAGTATTAAAATTGTAAACTAGAGCTATGGTTCGCTATAACGTTAAGGACAACCAGTACTGCTGATGCTGGTACCGAGACATTTTGATCTTATACAAAATTCAAATAAGTATTCAAGAAGGCCATACCAAGAAAAAGTTTATAGTAATCAAATTAAGTTTTAAGCTGTACCTAGGAACTGATTTATCTATGCTTTTTTTTCGGGTTTCGTGCTTTACTTTTATAGCACTTTTACATAAATTAGTGCACTATTTTACGTAATACCAGCTTTCGCCCGCGACTCCGTCCGCGTGGAATTAAAAAACTAAGTAGCCTATGTGTTGTTCCAGACCATCTACATCTATGCCAAATTTCATCGAGATCCGTTCAGCAGTTTAGGCTACAAACTCTAAATAACATCCATCCATCTAAACTATCGCATTTATAATATTAGTAACAGGATCATTTGTTACTTATTAACTTACGTTACATAAACTATATTAACGTTCAATTTAATATAAAATAAACACATACTTAGCGCTAACAAGTACACTGATTAATTATGAATTTAGCCGTCAATGACCCAGTAATAATGTCTATGGTTGCATTAGATGTATAAACAAACCATCGTAGAGTGTAATCGAGAGGCGAGAGGTCACGAATATGGTAACACCGTGTCACGCCTAGCCCTGGACGTTGCGCAAAATGATCGAGTGCATGATATAGCAACAACATAATCATAATACACGCCCGTATAATTAATTTGTATATTACATATCTAAAAATAGAATTTATGTATCAATTTAAATTTATAATACACTGCCATGTGTTTTATTATTTTGTAATAACTTAAGAAAATTACTTAGTTAATTTGTGATGATCGGCTTTTTGCCGCCATGTCGTTCCCCTTTCGCATTTTTTATCAGGTACCTGTTTCAGGTAGTTATTTTACAATAAAATATTAATGTAAAATAATACACTTCTTTAGTAGATAATTACTCAATAAGTATGCTCTGAATACAAAGCTAGGTTTTGGCGCTAAGCCATTTAAAAACCGCTAGATGTTCATATTTTCCTTGTAAATACGGAGAAGGATATCTCTAGGCAAATATCCAAAGTTATTCCAAACGGCGCCGTCACAAATTATTCCTTTTACAGGAACAATAATCCTGGCAATCGCGAATACATGTACAGTTTAAAAGTCAAAGTCTGAAAGTCATCGTCCAGACGACCTTCTTTATGTTATAATTCATTTTAAAACTAATTAAGTTTCAAGTCAATTGGAGTACGTTATGCAAATTTGAGTAACAGATTATTGATCTCTACGCATGAATGGCCGTGTCCGTTTCGAATTCGTTCCATGTGTTAAATGTTATTAACTCGCAGTTAACGAGACCTCAT